ACGTGCATTTTTGTATTTTACAACGTAAATTACGTGGCTTCAAAAAAATCCTTGTAATTTACCAACCTTAGTGTTAAGTATTTTCATATTGACTGAATAGTTTCATTAATAACAAGTAACATATGTATTCTTTCAAATCCATATGAATGGTTTGGCTGTGATATTTGTGATAGCTGTTAAAATTAAAGTTTATAACTTAATCTAACATAAATAGGTACTGACATTAAGTGAACACTAAATAAATTCATAGATAATAGTGAACCCTATTATGAAGCGCTTGAAAAACACTAAACCCAATACTTGTATATTCATTGTTATTATTTAAAGCAATTTTCTTACACACAAATATTTACATTAAATTGATTACAATGTTTACAACAAAAAATACTATTAAAATTTGTATACAATTTTTACTCATATTGATTATACAAAGAGTACATTATATGCGAGTAGAGTAAGAAAAACAAATACGTTGAACGTAAATACACATTTTAAATTAATCTAGATAAACAATTGATCCAAAACAATCTCAATCGTTATGTGCATAGAAAATATTTTTGTACCAGAATTGCTGCAAAAATAATAACAATAAATTATAATACAACGAGAAATCCTATTAACATTAATTGCTGAGCGTTTAGCACCAGAAGATTCTGGTGGTCGGGATTTAATCAATATATTGCCTGTATATTAATATACATACCGGCGCTATAGTCACACACTGTGTAAAAGTAGTAGACATTCAATAGTAAGTAAACGGAGCGCATGTTTGGTATTACATAACACAATACTATTGCAGTGTATATTTACAGAATCACGGAATATTCTGTTGAAGAATCACAGGATATACTGATGTTTTGCATTTTATTGCATTGTGTTTATATAGAGCATAGATGAGCTCAGGGGCAAAAATAGGGGCAAATCTGTCTTATCATTTATGTACGACCTTGTATTCACTAATACTATTCAGATGTTAGATACAATGATTGGACAACAATTACGGCTAATGAAAACATGTCTGTGATCATCCGTGATATAGAGTATATGTTATTTAAATTATAAAACACTAGATATTTAATGCATTTGTAGTGTACTTTCTGTATTTGCATAAATTGCAATCACTATTTTGGTGGATATAATTGCTTGATATAATCACATAAGACAACAACTCTATGGCGGGATTTTCAGTGGCGCGAAAGATATTGGAAAAGCGGGCGCAGGAAAAACAGCTCAAAATAAACGATATGGTGGTGTTTGATGAGGACCTGCCCCACAAACTGGACGAGTGTCGGCTCACTTTTGTCGACTTTGCGCCCATACTTAAGCGAAAAGACCATGGGGGTGGCATTCAAAGTGTTCAATATTCGTACGCATTTTATCGTGATCGATTTGGTAAACAATATATTAAACTTGCCATCATTAATTTAGGGAACTCATGGATTTTGCCAACAAATGGCTGCTAAGGCAGGAGTGCTGGGATGTGCTGAGCGCCGAGACCGTGTCGGCCATCATTGAGATCGTGATCGACGAGAGGGGCGAAGTGGTGGGCAAACACATACTCAGCACTTTTACCGTAACGGAAGACAGTGCCGGATACGAAGAGGGCGTATCGTATCACCATCTCACTCTGAGCAAAGCACCCATACACTTCCGGGTCAAAATGTTACGCCTATGGCTGTTGCCGTTTGACTCCAACGAGTACAACGAAAAAGTCCGGCCAATAGTGCCCCAAATCCAGTTCCGGGACTTTGAGCCCTGTTCCCTGACCGACATTCCCGGCGAGTTTGAGTCATGCGATGACGTAATGGCCAGACTTAACGACGCGGTCAACGCCGAAGAGATCACCGGCAAAGTGTTGAACGTCCAGACACTGGCCTGCGGTGCCAGTCATGAGTGGCGGGTCGACACCGAGAGTACCGAAGCCAAGCCATGGGTGGGCAAAACGGTGTACGTGTTGCGCGTGTTTTACGCCCTTGGTCCTATACACGAAGAGTTGGTTTGGCCGACTTTGTGCCCGAGTGTCTGGTGGGTGGGGGTGTTTTCAAGCGACCCCGATTTGAGTCCCAGTCCTCACTCATAAGGAAAGCCAGCAAATGGCTGTCCGATAATCCAGAGGTCAATTTCTGCAGCGCCTCATCCATTGATGTCAAACTCAAGTCAAGTAAATAGAAATTTTTTATAATGTTTAATTATGACAAATGTATTAATTGTTTTATTATAAGTTGTTTTATTAATTTATTTTATAAATTTATTTTATTATATTTAAAAACTTTTTAAATGTTTAGTAATTCATATATTTGTTTATAAACTACTAGTGGTTTCAATTGACACGAAACAGATGGCCATCACTCGTGACACCGGGGACTTCGTCCGTATACTACGGCTCGTATACACTAAACCACGTGAACTGCCGTCAGATATACCCATCTCATCAACACTACCGCCACCTCCGCCCGTATACATAGGGCACCGGACGTTTGTCGTTCACAAGGGCTACGGGGATGTCAAGCGAGTGATCAGTGAGTTCTTGGCACGGGATGAATGGCGGGCCACCAATCAGTACAAGTGGTTACTGGTAAACGTGGAGACTGTGGCCGTGTTTGCGTCCAACGGCCTGCGCCAGCCACTCGAGACTAATGCCGACCAGAGTTTTCAGGCCCTCCTGTCCTCCAATCTGTCAATGAATAGGACGGAGTATTTTGCCATTAAATTGTATTATGACGTCGGCTACTATGGTATCGACCATTTGGCTACCGGTGCTAAGGCCGAGGAGGAGGCCGAGGCGGCTAAAGGCACCGGTAAAGGCTGTAATCAAATGTGATATTGAAGTTATACTGGTATTGAACGCTGTTATATGAATTGTGTGATCTTTATTGCACCCTAATTCAATTATGTTTATATTATTAAATTAGTGTGAAAAAGTTAGTGATGAGTTACAGAATATTCTGGTGGTCCCGATTTCAATCAATATGTTACCAACATATCAACATACATACAGGCGCTGCACTCGTACAATAGTGTACAATATAATAGACTGAAGTGAATAGTTAGGGAACATCCTAAGAGCGCATGTATAATATTATACAATGTATAATGCTAATAATACTAGTGCACTGAATATTTACAGAATCCATTGGCGCACACAAAATATTCTGTTCAGGCATGTAATGATTTATTTGTAATTTTTAGCAATATTTATATAATATCAATATTATTTGAATTATAAAACTCTAGATATTTAATGCATTTGTAGTGTACTTTTTGTTTGCATTGTACACTGATTTGCAAATATTATCATTGGATTTGATTTGCTGAAGAGGAAGGCATACACGAAGACAACGACAATACAAATACAATGACAATAATAGGAAAACGTGTGGAAAAGCGGGCGATGGAAAGGCTGCTGAAGATTGACGATATGGTGGTGTTTGATGAGGACCTGCACCACAAACTGGACGAGTGTCGGCTCACTTTTGTTGACTTTGCGCCCATACTTAAGTCAACGCATGATGGGAAAGGCACCCAAAGTGTCCAGTACTCGTACGTATATTATCTTGATTGATATTATGATGGCTAATTGCTCAAGGTCGGTTAGGATTATTGTTTAACTCATCAAATGATTAATTTGCATAATTCAGTAATGAAGTATGTAGTAATTTTAATAAATTATTTATTTACCATGTACATTTCAGGGAGTTAATGGATTTTGCCAACAAATGGCTGCTAAGACAGGAGCGATGGGATGTGTTGAGCGCCGAAACCGTGTCGGCCATCATTGAGATTGTGATTGACCCGAGAGGCGAAGTGGTGAGCAAACACATACTCAGCACATTCACCATCACAGAAGACAACCCGGAATACCAGGATGGCGTGTCTCTCCACCATTTCACCCAGAGCAAAATACCCATACTCTTCAGGGTCAAAATGCTGCGCCTATGGCTGTTGCCGTTTGACCCCAACAAGTATAACGACAAACTCCGGCCAATAGTGCCCCAAATGCAGTTTCGGGACTTCGAGCCCCGTTCCCTGACCGACACTCCCGGCGAGTTTGAGTTGTGCGACGACGTGATGGCCAGACTTAACGACGCGGTCAACGCCGAAGAGATCACCGGCAAAGTGGTGAACGTCCAGACACTGGCCTGCGGTGCCAGT